CCACTGAAAAGAGTTTGGCCCCATCCTCCTGACACCCACCCTGCAGATATTTATAAGCATTTCTAAGGTCCCCTCTCAGCCTTCTCTTCTCCAGGGTGAACAAGCCCAGCTCCCTCAGCCTCTCCTCGTAGGAGAGATGCTCCCGTCCCCTCATCAACAGCTGCATGTTTCCACTGCAAACTTGCCTTTTCCCTTCCTCGGAATCCTCTTGGAGCACGGCCATGCGTGTCTCCAGCCAGGCCAGAACCAGGGAGTGGAACGCTAAAAGCTGTGCCGTGACCCTCCCTGCACTTGCACCTCCCTGAGACACCTTGCCAAGTATTCCCTATCCCCATCCTGAAGGTCGTTCCTCGGGCTGGCTTCGCTCTTGGAGCGGTCTCTCCTTGAGCCACGGGGTTTCAAACCCATCTGGACGTGGGTGTGTGCCTGCCACAGCTGGCCAAACAGCCTCAGCTGCGCAGTAGGAGCCCATCAGTGTTGGGTTTTGCTGGGGAAAAGGGATCTGAGCATCATTCCCCATTGCTGCACCTTGCAGAGTGCCCCTGGGTGCTGGCTGGTGGGAGAAGGGTTCTCATGGTTTAGCAGGCATGGCAGTGTTGGGTTGGCAGTTGATGTTCTTAGAGGTCTTTTCCAACCTGAATGATTCTATGAAGCCTCCTGGCCATGGGTTTCACCCTGTGTCCCTCTCCCGATCCTGGCAGGGCTCCATCGTGGTGGGCATCGACTATGACTGCCGGGAGAAGACGATCTATTGGACCGACGTGGCCGGACGGACCATCAGTCGGGCGAGTCTGGAGCCAGGCGCTGAGCCGGAGACCGTTATCAACTCAGGTGTGCTCCCATCACCGGTGACATCTGCCCGAAGCCACCTCGGCTGGGTCCGCGCCAGTCTGTGCCCGTGGCAGCTCTGGGGCTGTCCCACTTTGGGTTCCTCCACATCCCTTGGCTGTGGGTCGAGGCATGCGGCAGGTCCACGAGCGATGTGTCCCCGGCCACCGACCACAACTGTCCCTCCGGCAGGGCTCCTGAGCC